GAATATGCTCTTGTCGGTTTTGCATGGTTTTCATCGGGGCCTATCTTCTGATAGATCGGGTTGTAAAGAGGGCTCTGTAGTTGCTAAGGAGCATCATGTAGATGGAGAGCCCAGGAAAGCGAGACGAGCTCGAGTAGCAATATGGGGACCCTGACAAATAGAAGAGTTTCTCAAGGGGACGAAAGGAGCGACCCTTTAAGGGACCCTTGGGGTCAAAAAAGGCTTTATTTAGGATCAGGGGTCCCTTCTAAGTTTTTGGGAGTATTTTTTATGGCACAGGCATAGTACTATAGGACTATAAGAGGATATTAGATATCAATCCAGGCCTGATGGTTGGTGGTTCGTTTTTCCATCGCACCTTTCGCGATCCCGGACAATCTCGAAACCTAATCCCGCAGCGGGTTCGTCTTTGGGCGGTCGTCGTCTTCCAGGAGCAGCGGAGGTTGCGGCAGCAGGAGGAGGAGGAGGAGCAGGAGGAGCACGAGGAGGATCTGCGAGTAAGACTAGTTAAAAAGGCAGTAGTCAAATAATAATGAAACATGAAATACTTACCAACTCATGAGGACAATGAACGGCGACGATATGTGTGAAGCTACAAAACAGGTAGCTGCTACGGTAACGTCTGATCCCTAACCCCAAACCCCCAACCTCAATCCTAAACCTATACGTATACGTATGATAGGTTTCAGCCATCGAGGTCAACACCTCTTCCTCCGCTCTCCTGAAGAAGCTCGATGCCACGCAGCAGGCAGCTGCGGATTCAAATTTGGCGTTCAGGGTTTAAGTTTCAGGGTTTGAGACATAGGTGTTGAGCCATACCATGTGCTACAAGGCTTTACTGGTTTGGAGTCGTGGGGTTTAGTTTCTTCAGGATGAGGTTTTCGTGCTTTAGGCTTAATGTTCGGGCGTGAGTTCACCGTTCATTTCACGTCAAGAGTAGGACGATACCCAAAACCCTAAACCCTAAGCCCTAAACCCTAAACCGGATAGTATAGGTGAAAGTTGCCTGGCTCGAGGCCGGAATTTGAATGCCGAGAACCCCCAGCCATGACAGTCACGCAAGGCGCTCTGAACCCATCAGAAGTCTTGATGGGCGACCCTACTGTAAGGGCCTTAATAGTTAGAATAGGGTTTGGGGTATATTATACTACAGTTATAATAAGGAACCCCTACTATGGGGGCCTTAATATTTAGAATAGTGTTTGGGGCCGTTTGGGGTATGTTATGCTACAATTATAATCAGGAACCCCCAAAACCCTATTGTAATTTTTAAATCCCTTGACCCTCGTAATCCCTACCCCTAAACCCGCAACCCCAAAGCCCTTGAATGTAGAAGGCCGCTGTATAGAATCCCAGTGCTCTCCATGAATCCATGAAGACCTAAACCCTAAACCCTAAACCCTGAGCCCTAAACCCTAGGGTTCAGGGTTTAGGGTTTCTGCCTGCAGCCCTAAACCCTAGGCCCTAAACCCTAAACCCTAAACCCTAAGCCCTAAACCCTGAACCCTGAACCCTGAAGCCCTAAACCCCTAAACCCTGAACCCTAAACCCTAAACCCTAAGCCCTAAACCGTAGGACCTGCTGAAGCAGAGCCACGAGTCGCATGCCGTGCTCGAGGTGCGGTGGGAGGAGTTTCGGCGTTTAGGGTCTGTGGGGCTTGGTGGAGTGTATAAACAGTATAATATACTACAATATACTACAATATACTATAATATACTATAATATAGTATATTATAATATCCTATACTTGTTCTGTTCTATACTATACTGTACTCTACTCTACTATACTATACTGTGCTATACTATGCTGCGCTGCAATATAATCTGCAAGAAAATCAAACCTTCTACGTACTCTAATAATCTGTAAGGCTCGGGGGTTACTTGTCCTAAATTGGTTTTGGGGATGACGGGTCTGGCGTTTGGCTTTGGGATTTGCTTCAGGTTTTGAGGTTTTGGGATTTTTGATCTCAGGGTTTAGGGATTGATTGTGGGTTTCGGAGTTTCCGTGTATCCTGTTTAGGGGTTTGCAGGAAAGTTCCGGCTAGTAACCTGTTCGGGGTTCAGAGGTTCGGCTCTGGTAAGGAGTTTCCATGGTTTACGGTTTAGGGTTTAGTGACTACCCTAAACCCTAAACCCTAAACCCTAAACCCTAAACCCTAAACCCTAAACCCTAAACCCTAAAAGTTTAGTGCTTGGGGTTGAGTGAGGCTTCGGGGTTGGCATGTTTTAGGTATGCCTGCGTCCACCGCGGAGCCCTAACTATCAGCTTTGCCTACGTGCATGATGCTGCAAAAAAGAAAAACCTCGCACAGTGCGCAGGATCCTAGTGTCGACCCTGAGAGGGTAAGAATGGTAGGATTCTTATCATGATCCGTATGAAGGGAAGTGAGGTGCCATGGGGTGCTAATGAGGGGGTTATCGTTCTGGAACGCTACAGGGGTCCGACAATCAGCAGTAGTCGTATACGCTTTGTGCCCCCAATTCCTGTTCTGATTGATTTTTACCCGTATGCCCGATAGTAGTTCCTTTTGGGGATTACCTTACAGGATTCTAAATATGAACCCCAAAAAACGAACTACTATGGGGCCTATGGGTAAGGCCCCTACCTCCTAGACAAGAAGTGCAGGGCGTTGCGGCCAGCCAGACCACTCTTGCAAAGAAGGTCGACTCAGGCAACTCGCGGTTTTAGCGCTGAACGGTGGTGTTGGGCGTTTCGGTTCCGATGCGCTTTTTTTTTGCTGGGGTCCAGGATCCTGCATGTGGGCAGTTCTCTAAATTAGGGTCCTTCTTGGGGTCCTTTTTATAGGGGTGCCGTACTATATTCGGGACCCGAAAGGGGACCCCCAATTTAGAACTACCCATGTGAGGCAGGGGCTTTGAGCCACTTCGGTCGGTGATTCTTGAGCACGGAGCCCACGAATCATTACCTGAGCTCTCCTACGGACTCATGTGCGAATCCTGTAGGTAATATAGCGGCCTTAATAATTTCCTGTATTGTTTTGGGGGTTCGTTATTATATTTATACTATCATATAATATTATACCCCAAAACCCGACTGAAAATTATTAAGGCCCCTACATTAGTTCCGTCTTTATTGTGAGGACTCCTTGGTTGCTATTCTTATCACAGGCAGTATCGTCATTATCAATACTGTGGCCAGCTAGTTAGTCATCTACCTTGGGTGTATCACTCTCAAACACTCAAACCATTTCCAAATTGTAGTCCGGATGTCCTGATGGTGACAGTGAGAGTATGTACAATCACAAGCGTGGATATCATGTCTGAATTATGATTGTCCATGGTCGTAATAATACAGCCACGTCCGAAGAAGCAATGACCATCAGACCTGCAAAAAGGTTCTGTCTCTGTCTCTATATGTATATATATATATATATATATATGCACTTAGCTCTCTAGTCCCTAAGCCCCAAACCCGAGCCCACAAATTAAAGCCCCCAATCCATGAACCCAAAGCCGTAAATCTCAACCTCCAAACCACAGCCCGTAATTTTCAATCTACAATCCCAGAATAAAACCCCAATCCATAAAGCCCACGCCCTGGTTTCCAAACCTCGGGCCCTAACCGCCAAAATCAAACCCCCAGTGCATACCCAAATGGGTGGTTGTCAAAATTATGGTCCCTTTTTGGGTCCTTATTATAATACGGCACCTATTATGTAGGGTACCCCAAAAGGGACCATAATTTTGACAACCACCCAAATCGAGCCACCAGTCCGTAAGCCCAGATGATGAAGGGGAGGGGCTGACACGTC